TGTCTTTTTTGGGCTGCTGCTTTCCAGAAAATGTAGAAGATCAACCTTGTCCTTCAATATCAGCTCTTTGAGTTCTTTCCTTTGGGCCATCATGTCTCCATTAACTGTAAAATTTTTCAGTAACTGTAAAACGTACCTACAATTCAGACCAGTCCTTCACATTAAAAAAATTTTCTGGAACACGTGATACATAATAAGATGTCAGGCCTAATCCAACACATGGTAATAATAAAACATGACTTAAACGTACTTAAATTTGAGGGTTTTTTTGGCCGGGGCCAGGTTTGAACCCACCACCTCCGGTATATGGGGCTGGTGCCCTACTCCTTTGAGCCACAGGCACCACGCTTAAATTTAAACTTCTTAATTTGGAAATACAGAAGAACTTCTTTAAGTTGACCACCCAAGGGACTGTACCAAACTGGTCAACATACAGAGGTAATCAACATAAAGAACTTCCATTGAGTACATGTGGTGCATGTCCAATCTATGAAAATTGTCAGCTAAGGAGGTGGCAAATGTAGGGAGGTGGTCAACTATGGAGGTTCTATTGAATTGCAAAGTTCAAAAATAAAAATGTTACAAATAATATCCATCTATCCTTTACCTATATTCATATACTGTTAACATCCCCCCCCCATTTTCTTTATCATTTGCTATTTATCTAGCTATATAGTATATGTTTGCATATGTATATATTAGGTTGGTGCAAAAGGAATTGTGGTTTTGGACCATGAATTTTAAATCATTATAACTAGGCTCACCCATGTCTTTATTAATCAAAATAGGCACCACTACAATCAACACATTGTTGCCCATGGGGAATAAGTTTGTTTATTCTTGTAGCATAAAAATCAGTGCTTCAGGATTCAACAAACTCTTGGAAACCATTTTCTGCATCCTGTTGGTTGTGGAAGCATTTTCCCTGCAAAAAGTTATCAAGATGCTTGAAGAAGTGGTAGTTGGTTGGCAAGAAGTCAGGTGAATATGGTAGATGAGACAAAACTTCAGAGCCCAATTTGTTCAACTTTTGAAGCGTTGGTTGTGTGTTTTAAGCTAAATATTATTACAAAAAGGGTCAAAAAGTCTTAAAAAATTAAAAAGTTTATAAAGTAAAAATGTTACAGTGAGCTAAGGTTACTTTATTATTGAAAAATAAAAAAGTGTTTTATAAATGTAATGTAGCCTAAGTACAGTGTTTACAAAGTCTATAGTAGTGTGCAGTAATGTCCTACACCTTCATAGTCAATCACCACTCACAGTGATTTACCCAGAGCAACTTCCAGTCCTACAACCTCTATTTATGGTAACTATCCTGTACCATTTTTAAATCTTCCATGCCATATTTTACTGTACCTTTTCTATATTTAGATACACAAATACTCACCATTCTGTTCTAATGATCTATAATATTTACTCTAGTAACATGCTGTACAGGTTTGTAGCTAGAACAGTAGGCTATGCCATATAGTATAGGTATGTAATACACTATATCAGTGTCCCCAACCTCTTTGGCACTAGAGACCAGTTTCATGGAAGACAATTTTTCCACAGATGGGATGAGGGAGAAGGGGGGGGTATTAGAGTCTCATAAGGAGCTTGCAACCTAGATCCCTTGCATGTGCAGTTTATAATAGGATTCCCCATGCTCCTATGAGAAACAACTATCACTGCTGATATGACAGGAGGTGGAGCTCAGATATCATGATCCTAAAATATTAGGTCCATTACATATGACGTGAGAGATGGGAAGCAGCAGATGTAAATACAGATAAAGCTTTGCTGGCTTTCCCACCTGCCGCTCACCTTCTGCTGTGTGGCATAGTTCCTAACAGACCACGGACCAGTACTGGTCTGCAGCCCAGGGTTGGGGACCACAGGGCCTCACCATCTGTGTTTGTATAGGTGTACTCTATGATGTTCATACAACAATGAAATTACCTAATGATGAATTTCTCACAATATAAGCCCATCATTAAACAATGCATGATTCTATATATAGATATACAAGAACAATATTCTCTTTCATAACCACAGTTAGGGCTACCAGATTTAGCAAATAAAATTACAGGATGCTCTGGGCAAATTCTAACAGGTATAAAAGCACCTGAGTTTTCCCTTAGGAAAACTAATACACTATACTACTAAACTACTATACTCCCTCTTCTGGACACATTCAGATATTTTTGGACTTGATAAGTCTGGATCTTTTTGGTTACCCTTCAATGTCTAAACAATAAGCCTAATCCACTGGGCAAGATTTCTGGTAACAAGTTAATGTCTGTTAAGATCTTGCTGATAAAAGCGAACATTAGTTAACTTTTTTTCCATCTCTTGAATGTTCTGTTGATTTGGTAGTGTTTTTCAGAACTTAATCGAGTAAGAATTGTCATATGAAGAATACTTATAAAATTTAAACATAAAAATCATCTTTAGATCTCATTAAAATGTAGATTATGATCCAGGAGAACTGGGGTAGGGTCTGAACTTTTGTATTTCCACCCAAGAACGCCAACACAGTGGTGCTCCTATCACACTTTGTAAGATTATAGCAACATATAATAGGTATTTTAAATATGCAGGTATCCAGGCCCCATCCCAATATACTGATTCAGAATTACTGGGGGCACTGTCCAGGAATATACATTTTTTTTCTTTTTTATTAAATCATAGCTGTGTACATTAATACTATCATGGGGTACAGAGTGCTGTTTCTATATACAATTTGAAATACTTTCATCCAACTGGTTAACACAGCCTTCATGTCATTTTCTTAGTTATTGTGTTAAGACATTTATATTCTACATTTAGAGAGATTCACATGTACCCTTATAGGATGAACTATAGGTGTGATCCTACCAATCATCCTCCCTCCACCCATGCTTCCCCCTCCCCTCCCTCTCCCCTTTCCCCATATACAGGAATATACATTTTAAACAAACTCCTAGGGAGATTTGACAACCACTGGTCTATAAATTTGAAATACCCTCTACCTTGTTCCCAACTTATTTATTTTCTGTTTCTCAGCACCCAGTGCAGGTCTCTCCTTCTGCTTAATGCTTTTATTGACAACCTCAGACTTAAATTCAGTAACAATTGCTTTCAGCAAGCATTTGGTATTTCTTTCCTGGCATAAATCCTGTTCCCCCAGACATTTTATATCATGAAAAGAACAATTATATACATTCCTGTAGTCTCAGCTCCTAGCATAATGCTTATCATAGAATAATTGTTTAATTAATATTTATCATGGACAATAATGGTAATGATGGTGGAAAATGAACATCTCTCCAGGACACGTAGTTGTTTCCCAGGACTTGTGTGACTAAAATAATTTGTTTACACCACAAAAGAAACACTCAACTGCTTAGCAAAAGCTGCAACCCCCAACTATGGCAGGAATTGGCACCACAATCCTTTTTTGTACCTTTTTGAATTTTATGATAGTAAATGGGACTTTAAAAGAAAGAAATACTTTAAATTTATTGTCTTTTATCTGTGAACCTTAAAGCACTCTAAAGCCATGTTAAATTAGTACACAGCCCTGGTGTAAATATTATTATACCCTCCTTACAAAAAAGCTGACTAGGAAAAGAGTTGTAAGATGCCATTATAAGAAGGCTAAACCAAAAAAATCAAGGTGGCTGACAGGCGAGAACTCAGCAATTCCCAGACCTCAAGTTATGTGACTAGAAAGGTGAGCATTCCATAGAAGGGAGGTGGCTAAGAAGAAACTGAAGATTATTTCAATTTAAACGAATCAATTCCATCTTCCTCTGTACTCCCAGTGCCTTCGCTCTTTGTATCTTGTGCCGCTTATACGCACGTTAAATGTCGACCCACCTTCTCTTAACTTGTCTATTTTCTGGTCGTCTTGTTCTACCTACTAGTCCACTGTAGCAACAGAGCCAAAATAACTGCCAGCTGAGGACATCTAAAACGGGATTGGAACCCTAGTTCCTTCACCTTTGAACTCTGCCTCCTAAAAAAGTCGGTGCAGCTCTCAGTTGGTTTCCTCTTTGTGTGTAAAGTGGAAAATGATTACGCCCGCCCACCTCACTGGACGGTTGAACCGACCAAACGCTATTCGTAAACTTAAGGCACTAAATGGATACCAGTTGCTCCCTTACTATGTCATTCCTTGTTTAATTTAATTTAACGCCAGAGCCACACAGAGCAGCATAACTAACAAGGGCAGGGCGTGCCCTAGGGAACACCCTCGAGGTAGATCTTTTTCCTTTGAAGAGAGGGAGAGCGCGGGGCTGCTGGGAGTCGTAGTTTTTGCAGCGGTCTCCTCTGATGTCAGATTAAAGGCAAGAACTACAATTCCCGTGAGGCTGTGCGTGGGGAGCCCGCGCACCCCTCCCTCAGGCGCGTGCCCTTAGACGAAGCTGGGTGCGCGCGCGCCCGGGGCCCGCAGAGCGAGCACGGAGGTAGTTTGCTAGTGGTGGTGGTGAATGCAGATCGAGGAAAGGAAACGCAAGGAATGTGTGGGGATGGTAACAAGGAAAATTAGACAAAATAAACACGCACCATTGCTTCACCACCCTGGCGACTGTAAACTCGCGCTACTGCGGAGGCATGTGGAGCGCGCTCCCGGGCTCGCGCTTCGTGCCTCCGGGACTTCAAACAGCAGAGGCGGGAAGGGGTGGGGCCGACGGTCCAGGGGCGGGGCCCAAGGCGAGGAGGGCGGCGGCAGCGGCAGCGGCTGCGGCTGCTGGGGCCAAGACCCAGACATCTGGGACTGTTGTTCGGTCGCGGTGCGACCGCCTCAGTCGGCTAGCTGAGGGACCCGGACCTTGTCTGCTGGGGAGCGGGCGGCCATATCCCTCCTTTCTCCCGGTTCCCTGAAGCTGCGCTCCTGCCGCAAACACCCTGCGGTAGATCTTTGGTGCCCTTCAGTGAGGAGGGGAAGTCCGGACCCTGGTGAACGCACCCCAGACTCCTCCAACTCGGTGTTTTCGCCGGGTCCCCGGCCTGCACACCCCAGTCTGCCTGCCATGGCTGAAAACGCAGAGGGGGACCTGAACTCCAATCTGCTCCACGCCGCCTACCACACTGGCGACCCTCAGCTAGATACGGCCATCGGGCAGTGGCTCAGCTGGGATAAGGTGGGTACCTGGTCAGCGCGGCATCCGCCTCGCGCTGCACACCCTCCCACACACAGTCCGCTCTTTCCTGTCCCCACCCAGGGCCCTGCAGGCTTCAGAGGAGATGGCTTGGGCAGTGGGGCGGGGGCCAGCGGTGCTGGGCGTTGCCACCCACCTAGGTCTGGGTTGCCTCCTTCGAACCCTCTGAGCCAGGCAGAAAGACATCTGCATCGCTTCCTTTTCCAGCGGGCAGTATCGCAACCTCCCTTTCACCCCCCTCACCGTTTTGCTTTCAAGTGCGTATCATCTCTTTTTCTTAAAAAGAAAAAATCATCGTCATAAGTTATACCCATCACAGAGCTATTCCTTTCCCCTTTTGTCCCTTGACTGCCTTCTCTGCAAACCTGAAAATGGTTTTTGACCCCCTTCTTGGACGTTTCTAACCGCTGCCCGCGTTAGCTCTGGTCTGATGTGTTACCACCGTCTGTCGGTAGGTAGTCTCTGTTCTTTCATCGCTCCCGGTATTCTTTAGCATCACCTTTTGCTCTTGAGAAAGGCAAGGGGCTTCTTGCCTCTTTTCCCTTTCTGGCAGCTATTTTCTGAAAATATTCTCGTCAAAGAACCGTGTTTTCTAGGTTCCATATGATTCTCCAGATAACAGAATTGTTTTTGCCTTAACCATCCCCCCACCACCTGTCAAGTTGTTGTGGTGATTAAATCTCTTGTAGGCCTATGGGATGGATTTGTGACAGCCAGAATGAAAATGCAGCTATTTTACTTGTTAAAGAAGGCCCTGGTGGCTCCAAAGGGGAAGATAATCCAAGCTTTTATGCACTCTATCAAGTGCATAAAATACATTTATTGAAATAGAGAAAGCAGAACATTTTAAATGGAATTAGAGATGCTGAATGAAAGAATTTGTATGGTAGTGTGTGAAATCATGTACAAATGAATTTCCTATAGGGTTAGTTTTATGGAAAAGTTTTATTTTTACTTTGTTCAGTAATTCATTTAGCAAAAAAATACTGAGCATTAGATAATGTTCTAGGCCCTGTAAGGCCCAGGAAAGACTAGTGGTGAGGAAAATATAATAAGAGTTCCTGCCCTCAACAAGCCTTTAGTTTTAGCAGATAAAGAAGACCAACAAATAAGCATTTACAATTAAATAGTTGGTGTTTGTTTTTTTGAGACAGAGCTTAAAGCTATCTCCCTGGGTAGAGTGCTGTGGCATCACAGCTCACAGCAACCTCCAACTCCTGGGCTCAAGCGAGTCTCCTGCCTTAGCCTCCCAAGTAGCTGGGACCACAGATGCCTGCCACAGCGCCCAGCTATTTTTTTTTTTTTTTTTTTGGTTGTAGGCGTCATTGTTGTTTTGGTGGGCCAGGCTGGATTTGAACCCACCACCTTAGGTGTATGTGGCTGGAGCCTTAGCCACTTGAGCCACAGGTGCCGAGCCTAAGTAGTTGGTGTTAATTGATCATATGCATCTTGGATATTATAAATTTTCCTCTAGTGTCTAAACTGTGCCTTTCAAACTTTAAAGTGCTTATAGTTTGTCTGGGGATCTTGAAATGCAGATTCTGATTCAGGAGGCCTGTGCTGGGGTTTGAGATTGTGCCTGAAAATGTTCTTCCAGGTGATACAAATGCTGCTGTGGACCACACTTAAAAGTGGCAAGACTCTTTTGCAGGCCAGAGGTGGTGGTTCACACCTGTAATCCTAGTACTTTGGGAGGCCAAGGTGGGTGGATTGCTTGAGCTCAGGAGTTGGAGACCAACCTGAGTAAGAGAGAGACCCCTTCTCTAAAAACAGCTAGACACTGTGGCTGGTACCTATAGTCCCAGCTACTTGGGAGGCTGAGGCAAGAGGATCACTTGAACCCAGGAGTTAGAGGTTGCTGCGAGCTATGATGACAGAGCACTCTACCAAGGATAACAGAGTGAAACTGTGCCTCAAAATAAAAAAAGACTTTTTGCTCTCTAGGTGCCAATTTTAACTACACTTTTTCTTTTCTTCTCTTTTCTTTTTTTTTTTTTTTGAGTCAGAGTCTCAAGCTGTCACCCAAGATAGAGTGCCATGGTGTCACTGCTCATAGCAACCTCAAACTCTTGGGCTTAAGCAATTCTCTTGCCTCAGCTTCCCAAGTAGCTGGGACTACAGGTGCCTGCCACAATGCCCAGCAATTTTTTTTGTTGCAGTTGTCATTGTTATAGCTGGCCCCAGCTGGGTTCGAACCCGTCAGCTCTGGTGTATGTGGCTGGCACCCTCCCACTGAGCTACAGGTGCCGTCCTAACTATACTTTTTCTAATGAATCTGACTAACTTCTAAAAGATTGGTTGAAGGCTAGGCATAGTGGCTAACACCTAAAATCCTAACACTTTTGAGCCCAGGTCTTTAAGACCAGACTGAGCAAGAGTGAGACCCTGTCTCTACTAAAAATAGAAAAATTCACTGGGCATTGTGGCACGGTCCTATAGTCCCAGCTATTTGTGAGGCTGAGGCAGGAGGATCACTTAAACCAGGCATCCTCAAACTATGGCGGCGGGCCACATGTGGCTCACTGAGGACATTTATCCAGCCCACTGGGTGTTTTTGCTGTCCCTGCCTGTCCTGCTTAGCAGCCGACTTGTCCTGGGGCCCACAGTCTGGCTCTCCAAGGGTCTATGGGACAGTGAACTGGCCCCCTGTTTAAAAAGTTTGAGGACCCCTGGCTTAAACCCAGGTTGTTTTGCGGTAAGCTAACCCCAAGGTACTGTATCCTGGGGCAACATAGTGAAACTGTTTCTAAGATTAAAAAAAAAATTGGTTGAATGAATTAATATTTATTAATTGTCTATGCTGTGCCTTTATATTGTTGGGTTATACTGAAATATTAAAAAAACAATAAAATACCATAAAAAGGTAATGCTAGAGTAGCTTTGGTGGCAGTTGAATGGTTTATAGGCAGTCAGTTCTTATTTCAAAAGTAGGCATAAACTGTGGACTGGAATGATCAAGGAAGATGTCTTTATAAGATGGGATACATATAAAAAGAATGAGGAGAAACTTCACTGAAAGTGGAAGAGAAGAGTACTCTCTACATATAAGGTGTACTAGCTGAAGACCTATGGGATATAGAAAGATACAGAAAGATGTCTACAGAAATAGGTAATGGATCATATCTTCAAAAGACATAGAAGGGAAGGTAAAACACAAATATAATTTAGGGAGCAAGTAATAAGTACCCTTTACAGAAGAAAATATTTAAGTAATTTTATTATTAAAAAAATAATTTCCTGGGCGGCCCCTATGGCTCAAAAGAGTAGAGCGCCAGCCCCATATGCCAGAGGTGGTGGGTTCAAACCCAGCCTCAGTCAAAAAAAAAAAAAAAATTTCTTCTTTGATTCTCTCTTAATGCAGGAAAATACTTCCCAGTGGGAAACAAAGGTGTATCGACTGTTGATTGGTAACTGTAGATGAGCTAGGGTATCTCCCATAGCTGTGAAATTTAGAGTGCAGAAAGGCAAAATAATAGTTCAGACACAGCATCTTACATGAAGAAACTGAGTTTAACACCTGATTAATACCTATTTAGTTAAAAAGGAACCTACTAAATGCTGCTGTTTCTTTATGACTCTCACAGGGCATATAAGTTATAAATTGATTTGTGGGCAGTTACTTACTTGCCTTGGTCACCAAGATTACTAATTTTAGTCTGGGTGGGTTGGTGTAGTTTGAAAAGTCTTTTTTTTTTTTTTTCTGAGGCAGAGCCTCAAGCTGTCACCCCCAGGTAGAGTGCCATGGCATCATAGCTCACAGCAACCTCCAACTCCTGGGCTCAAGCGAGTCTCCTGCCTTCGCCTCCGAAGTAGCTGGGACCACAGGCACCCGCCACAACGCCTGGCTATTTTTTGGTTGTAGCCGTCATTGTTGTTTGGTGGGCCCAGGCTGGATTTGAACCCGCCAGCTCAGGTGTATGTGGCTGGCGTCTTAGCTGCTTGAGCCACAGGCACTGAGCCCAGTTTGAAAAGTCTTTATGAAAAAAAAAGTTATTTGTGCTAAACTTTCAGAATTAGTTAAAAACTAATGAAGAGGAGGACCATGACATGTAGAGATAGAAACTTTAATGCGTGTACTAAAAACATTTGTTTCTGCTGTAGCTTAGGGTACATACAAAATTTGGGGGCTGGTGCCATGACTTACGCCTGAAATCCCACTCTGGGAGGCTGAGGCAGGGAGATTGCTTGAGCTCAGGAGTTCAAGACCAGCCTGAGCAAGAGCAAGACCCAGTCTCTACTAAAAATAGAAAGATACTAGATACTAGCCTGTTGTGGCAGGCACCTGTAGTTTCAGCTACTCAGGAGGTTGAAGCAAGAGGATTGCTTGAGCCCAAGAATTTGAGGTTGCTGTGAGCTATGAAGTTATGGCACTCCACCCAGGGCAATAGAGTGAGACTGTCTCAAAAATTTTTTTGGAAAGGTATATAAGGACCAGGTCATAGAAGGCCTTATTTTGTCTTTAGTGGAGTCGAATAAATAAAGGTGAGTGGAAATGTTAAAAAGAAAAAATAATGCAACAAGACAGGATTTATTGAGTTTATGTTTATTGGTACCCCATCTAGTTTCCATGGAGTGGCTTCCAATTCCTAGCCCTTCAAACTCAGTCCATCTCAGGATGGACTCAGTCTACTCAAGGTTATTGAAACTGATGTCTGAGTTCAGAATGCCATTTTTATTAACTTATGGTGCAGATGTTATAGCTAAGTGGATATGTTTCCACTTGGGGAATTTTCTAGCTGCACCATAAAAGAAGACAAAGAAGATTTTGTGGTGACAAAATCAGATTACAGAGAGTCAGATACATGACATAAGCATTTAACAGCATCAGCCTGTAAACAACTGAATGTACCCATCTCCATGATGGGGCTGTCCTACCAATAGAATAAAACAAGTCCATGAATCAAGGTGTTTCAAGAGGTTTCTCCTCTAGGCAGTGCACAGATGACTCTGCTCCTTCATTCTGTGTTCTAGTGCTGACTAAG